GGGCGGGGGTAGGGAGGGGAGCCAGACTTCATCAAGAAGTGATCGGGACACGACAGGCGGTCGGGGCGGCGACCCGCATCTGTACACTCGCCTCCTAAAAAGTACTCAGCTGATCCGTGGAGGAGGCAGTTGTAGGCTCGTGCCATCTCTTCTTCCCGTGACTGTACTGCCGTGGTGTCGTGCGGCCCGCCCGCCAGCATTAAGGCAGATTCCTCCGTGTAACCTTGCGGCTTCTGCCGACGCGCTAAAGACGAGGGAATGCCGATGAAAGTGCCAGCGTGCATCCCGGCACGGTGTCCGGCCCATCCCAGGCAAGGTGAAGGTCGCTATCAAACCGTCGCGCGGCACACTAGCAGTAGACCTATAAAAGCGACACGTTGATCGGAATAGTTTTTTTCCTGTCTCACTTAATTTGCATTGTCGGGCGGTGAGAACTAGCCTAGAACCCCCTCTCCCCTCTATCTTTTTGTTGGCTCTGTGTTATCGCGTGACGTGTGTTTGGTCACGATAGGAGGTTCGTACGGCCCCAGGATGATGGCACATAAAGCGACAATGGTCTATGATGACACCAGCTTTTGCCACGATTTTGTGGATTTTTCGATCTTTGACATTTTTTAGGGTTTTATTGTTCCGGAGAGAGCGAATCTGCTATTTTAAGGTGTAAGATTCGCTCCCTCAGGTTGTCGAGCTTCTCCAGCCTGATGAGCACTCGCACCAAAAAATTGGTCGTAGCCTGCACAGTGTAAGACACATGTCTGAAAAATATGGCAACATGATTGACAACATTTACTCTTTAAATTAACAACATAATCGAAAAAAGTGAACTTTTATAAAAGTATGCTTGTAAGATTTCAGTTCGTCAGTTCTTAAATGTCCTATGCCAATTTTTAAAAGTAAACTGGATAAAAATTCTACAGTAGGTTTCCTATAAACGTCTAAAACGCTATCAACATACACATGTATGTGGGAGTTCTATTTGTGACTAGTAATCCTCCTATACAAGTATAGGAATTCACCTATACACCGGTATAGGATCTGTACTAGTTGTGTGTAGTGGTTTTCCTATACATGTATAGGAATTTTTCTATACACGAGATGCATTTTAAAAAGGAAAAACAGTTGTTCCCTCCCCTTCTCGCGCTGTTTTCTCCCTTTCTTTCTTGCCTTCCTTTTCATTTTCCGGTAACTACAAGGTAGATGTACGCCAGACCACGTCTCGCGTAACAGGCTTCGCGATATCTCGCGAAACACTGTGACGCTGTGACGCTCATGTAGGTAGTGGAAAACATAAACGAAGAAACGGGCCGGGCCTGTGGCCCGCTATAACGCGGTAAACCCACGTTGTTCATGATTTAAAGCGAGGGGGCAATAACTCTGGGAATCATGTGTACACCTGTCTGGGAATCATCAGGATAAAAATTGATCAAAATCAATAGAAATCGCTTAGAATAAGCGGGAAACTAGAGAAATAAGTACAAATCAGTCGAAATAAGCGTTTTATACCACTGAAACCCCCCGAAAAACCTATGTAATAATTAAAAGAGGACGGGAATCACCGGGAATCAAGAATTTCGGGAATCATGTGTACACTTCAAAAGGGAGTTATTGCCCCCTCGATTTAAAGAGTGGAGGTGACCCTCGACCCCCAACGAGGTATTAACCTAACTAAGAATGATAGGTTTCAGGGAGGTAGTTTTTTTCCTATCCTATGTTTTGATTTGCGACCTATTTCTACGACTCTCCATGCAAGCTCATAATTTTTTCGCTTATTTTCTTCCACCCCCCCCCTTCTCGTTCCAAAACGGTGAAAAGAAAGAGAGCCAAACGGACAAAATTTTGGCCTAAAGGGCTCTACTTTGACGAGTTAGACTTTCAAAGCCCATAAAATATATTTGAAAAAATAAATTTTGTGACCGATTGTTTTTGAATTTTATTTTTTTGGCAATTTTAATATCAGTATGTTGATATAATTTTTACTCTATTGAAATATATGTAGTTCCTGAAAAATCGTCAAAAAAATGCGTTACGTGGTTTCACCAGAATTTCTGCGCTGTGCGTGCTTTGGGGAGGGACGAGCGAAGTAGATTGGCCTGTCGAAAATATTTTCTTAGTAAAATTTACAACAAATGTCGTAAACTTACAAAGATTTTTTTCACATTGAAAACAGTGTGGCGACGGGTTTGCAGCCCGAAATTTTGTTGTCCCTGGAACCGGCGAGTCGCAGGAGGTTGTGTCACTGTGGGCGCTCCCGCCGAGCAATGCCGTGTCGTCAATTCCCTTGTTGAACATTGTCGGCCGGGCCTCGGCCAGCGTGTGGCCGGGCCGGCGCAGCCCAGCGGGCCACCCGACTGACCCCAAAAATTCAAGGCAAGCCGAGACAGCAGAGGACAAACACCTGGGTTGCCCTTGTCTGCCTGTTGCCCTTCTTGGTGTCGTCTGGGCGACAAATTCACTTGCATGCGTAAAAACAGGAAATGTGCGGGTGGCGCATCGGCGAGGTGGGCGGCGGCGTAGGGCGGGGGTAGGGAGGGGAGCCAGACTTCATCAAGAAGTGATCGGGACACGACAGGCGGTCGGGGCAGCGACCCGCATCTGTACACTCGCCTCCTAAAAAGTACTCAGCTGGTCCGTGGAGGAGGTAGTTGTAGGCTCGTGCCATCTCTTCTTCCCGTGACTGTACTGCGGTGGTGTCGTGCGGCCCGCCCGCCAGCATTAAGGCAGATTCCTCCGTGTAACCTTGCGGCTTCTGCCGACGCCACTTTCGGTTTCGCCGGCCGGCCCGATGAAGAAGACCCACTTGTTTTGATTTTGTTTCGTTCGAGCCGAGCAGACTGGCTGCTACTCGCCATAACTCACGGCAAGGAAGGTGAACCAGGAAGCGAGCGGCGACGCAGTTTTGCACCTTGCCCGGACGCCTTGCCGTGACACAGTGACATGACCGCTCTAATTATTTACTCTTTTATGGTTATTATACACCTTAGTGTTTACTTCTTCAATCGACGAGGCTTTCCTTATTTTACCTTCTGATAAAAATGTGTGCGCGTAAAGTGCGGTCATACAAGAGCCATTATTCGCGCTTTTGGAACTATGCACCTGCAGTAGCAGATGCGGTTCTCCTCGGGATATGGGGAAGGCTGCGCGCCGCAAATACACGCATTTGGACTGATTTATCCTTGTGGGGTGTTGTCCGCACATCTCTGGCGTTGAGGTCTCCGCGTGGCTGTTAGTCAGCGTTAATAGGACCCCCAGTCGAGCCACACAGGCAGCCGATAAAAGGGAAAAAAATGTAGCTTCGTAAAGCAAAATAAAAAAAGACGGGTGGCCTACCTGCTGTTTTGTACACTGGCAATTTCTTCTCTAAACACAGGGTATGATGGCAAACGGATAGTCTGTTTATAGATGTAGTTTTAATTTATGAGACTAGCGAAAAATGTTACAACGCTTCTCGAAACTGAAACTATTAAATCAAGTGTGCAACTGCTTATCAATTAAAAGCTAAATATTTGCAGGTAACTCTGTAGTGACTTGCTTCCAATTGCGCAACTTACATTGTTGAAAATTTGCAAGTGTACTACAACGCTGTTAAACACTGGCAAGTATTCAGCTTGCAGTTGCTCAAACTTGAGATCTTCAGATTTCTTTAAAAATAGTGCTTATGCAAATCTGTCAACATGCACAGCATACCAATTTTTTGTAGTACGTATGTAATAGCTAAAAAGTTCATAAGCTTTTATTCTGCACACTTAAAAGTGTGAAACAGTTTTTCACTTGGTTTAAAGTATCCATACACTTTTTGAAAATGAAACGAGTTCTTTGACCCCGCATGTTAATCCTTTTGTTGGCCATCGGTTACGGGTGGGTGACATTTCGTCGGGAACGCCTGAAAGACATAAAGCCAAACAAAAAAGGAATCGAAATGGTCTATCCTATTTTAGGCTTGCCGGCGGTGCTCACCCCATAACCACGATGAATTATGTCACACATGGTAAATCTGCTGATCGCACTGATCCGATCTCAGCAAATGAGATTTTTCCCATCGCACCTACTGTTCCTGTGAGTGTGTGTGAGTGTGTGTGAGTGTGTGTGAGAGAGAGAGAGAGAGAGAGAGAGAGAGAGAGAGAGAGAGAGCAGGAGTGCACAGAAAAGGGAGGGGGGCGTATGGATGTGTGTGTGAGGGCGTGCACCTGCGTCAGCGTGCGCGTGCGTGCGTGACCTGGTGTAAGCGTCGAGAATTGAAACCTCACATAGAATATTACCAATTATTGCACTCTTTCAACTGATTTAGCTGCTCCCGTAATCATATGAGTTATACAACCCCCTTGGTGTGCCTTTGCTCCACACAGAGAAAGTATTTCGCGTTGTTTTACGTGTGCCGTCTTGGAAAAGTTACTGCAGTAGAGCCTCTCACCAGTAATGTCGTTGACACTCATACGGCACATTCTGCATTGGATGCGGGCTGCTCAAAGGAACCACACGCGCCCTCCCCTAGACCCCAATCGAATTCCGATGGCCTGGCATATGCCCATTGGGCAGGCTGGCGCGAGTGCTGCGTTGCAGTGCCACATCAGGTGGCGCACCAATATCTCTCTTTCCTCCTTCCTACTGTCTCCCATCCTGTCTCTTGCCTCCTCCTGCCTCCTCCATCCTCTTACTCCTCCCCCCTTCTTGTCTGTCTGCCTCTCTTGTCAAGTACCGAAGGAAGCAAACCCGCATCGTACCTTCAGCCATATGATTTTCATGAGTTAAGAGGGTTTGTTACTTGTCTCCCGACCACACTTGCAGATTTTTGCGCTGTAAAGTTGCGGGGCCCTGGAAGTCTAATCCATAAACGGAGGCCATTTGTTTGGCGTTGCAAGAAGGCAGAGGGGACGCTGCTGGGCCGGTGTCATCCCGGTACTCAGTGCGACACAGTGCGGCAATAAGAAGATGCCTCAAAAATGAAACAAACCAAAGCTAATGACTGGTGAGGGCCCGTCTGGGATTCAGCGGCCCCCTCTGCTGCTCTGCCCCCGGTAGGGGCCCGGGCCCCCGGGGGCCCACTGCTCTGCCCTGGAGCAGCCGCTGACCGTATATAAGCGGCACCGAAGAGTGGGGACGGCACAGTCTGTGACGAGTCCGAGCACCGGCCGCATCCCTCCACTCATCATGAAGTTCCTGGTGAGTACAACGATCTTTTCAGGCGAGCTGTACATAGTTTTACCTCAGCTTTATTGCTGTCGCAAATAATTTCGGCCATTTTCGAATTCTCTTACCGTACTACTTCCGTTGTTAGTAGATTCATATTGTTTTGAAACGAGTTCTGATGCTTCCTCACCACCTCAATAGCTGCATCCGTTAAGTGCTGTAAATAAGTAAAACAATAATATTCTACGGTAGTTCAAAATTTCTACACTTTTAAAAAAATAATCTTTAAAAACATTTCTTTGATTCTTAAAGTATTGCAACAGTCTAAGCGCCGTAGTCGCCCTGCTTGCCAAAGCAAGGCGACCAGGGCGTTTAGAAGAAATATTTTTAGCAGATGATTTTATGTAATATCGTGTAAAATCAAGTGTAAAGGTCAGATGTATGATTGCAACAATGTAACCTGAGGTGCGTGTGGTGTCCCGCTCCCGCGGTGCGCCGCCTGCAGTGCCGCCTGCACCGGCACGGCGCCACGAGACCTTTGCCTTGGCCGTGCGCCTGCGTCCTTGGGCGGTCGAGTTCTTGCCATCCTCTTCCTCCTCAAGGATTGGTCGTTAGTTTAGGGGTCAACGGTTGCACTGCGACGCTGCTCCGTCGCTCGCGCCACCTTGCGAAACGCGACATTTTGTGTTGTGCTAAGGAATTTTTAATGGTGCTTGCTGTACATCTTTTAAAAAGGCATTAAATTGTGCCTAATGTACCAAATTTATCAATTAGGCAATTTGAGTCCAATTCAAATGTCACTAAAGCCTTTGCATCTTTTAAAGGTGCTCATTTAAAGGTGCTACATTTGCACCTCTGTTTTCCCTGAGGACAAGTGACTCTTTTAGCTCACTCATTTTTTAACACTCCGGCCCGCTCTTTTTCAGATCCTCCTCGCCCTCGTGGCCGCCGTCGCCGCCGACGTGTCTCACCTGTTCGGCAACCAGCACCACCACCACCACGCCGCCCCCGTCGTCAAGAGCTTCGACTCCTTCCCCGCCCAGTCTCAGTACCAGAAGCCCATCGCCATCCTGCGCCTGGTTCAGGACAACAGCGGTCTTGGTGACTACAGATACGCGTAAGTGTTTTCACACACGATTGCTAGACGGTGGACGTTACAAACTGGCCCTCGCATTGATTCGACAATGTCTTTCCAGTTTCGAGACCGAAAACGGCATCCAGGTCCAGGAGGAGGGTGTCCTGAAGAACGCTGGCTCCAAGGACGAGGCTAAGTCCGCCCAGGGCTCTTACTCCTACGTCGGTGACGACGGCCAGACCTACACCGTCAACTGGGTTGCCGACGAGAACGGCTACCGTGCCTCTGGTGCCCATCTGCCCGTTGCCCCCGAGATCCCGGAGGCTATCAAGAAGTCCCTCGAGTTCATCGCTTCCCAGCCCCAGCAGCAGGACCAGTTCTAAGCAACTGGCTCACCTTAGGATTACGTACCCCAATTGCTGTGTTACCTCTACGAATCGATTGATATGATTCGTTTGCCAAATCTGAGTACTGTGTACTCGCCTACTTTTCTGCTTAGTTTGACTTGAGTACCTTTCTATTAAATAAACCTAATGTACAAATGATCTCATAATCGTTAATTCTCCTCATCTCTAAAAAATATTCTTCTTTATTTTTTATTTGTTTCTGCGCACAAACCATACTCACATGAAATTGTTGACCTATTTGACCGCTAGTCGTTAGTCAGTTTAATGTTAAACTGTTAACAGCGAACTTATAGGAAAATATTCAACCCTCGTATCAGTCGGTTTTACCAAAAGAGCATTTCGACAATGCTGTTTCTAATTGCGGTCTTTGTTCACATAACACATTATTATTCAAAATTCGCAGAAAACTACGTCTGTTTCACGCAGACGAAGACGAACGGCTTCAGCACACGGTCAGCAACAGTTCAACAGTAGTCCGGTAGATCACTTTATCAAATCTTTGTGAGTCGAACAAAATGCAAATCTTTTGCAGATCTCAACATGAGAAATGCCTTGTGAATCGCGATTCGCCCGCGGGCCATCGCCCATCGCGTTCAAATGTGTGACGGTCGACCAGTCCCTGTCGTTAATTACGCTCACTCGTCCTCTAATTCTAGTAGAACTTCGACTGAACTGTTAAGAGAAATCCAATAGCGGCATTTCCTCGGAATGTGTTTGCCTTCGGCAGCAGTTGGGTGCTGACCTTTCCCCTTAATGACGGTGGCATCCGTCCTGGCCACGAAACCAGTTTCACTTTCAACGTCTTCATAGCACGTGGCGTTCAAGGAGCCAGTTGGGCTGCCTAACCTCACGGCGGATGTGTTTTAAGCTGCCTTTCTATCAGGGGGCTTATTTACTGGTCTAGTCCGTGAGTTCCCTTTTATGATGTGTGTGCAGTGTACTTTTTCCCAATGTTCGCAGCACCACACGTTGCGCATTTCTAGTCCGAACGCCCCCGCTTCCTTTTGGGCAACAGGGTGGACGCAGATGGGGACAGACAAGGTGAGCGCACAGCGTACTGTCACATCCTGTACGCCATGATGGTAGGCAGCCCGGTGGACAGCGCAGCTGTTTGGGTGGCGCTGTGTGGTGGAGCCGCTGAGGTGTAAGCTGGGCGTTCCACGTACTCAATCGACATTTGTCGAGTGTTGCTCTGAAATATTTATAATGTTGAGATGCGACCAGCCCAACGAACACTAACTCAGTGTTACTTAAGTATAATTATGTTTTATTCTCAATAACACCCTCTGTGAAGAACAGAAGCGTGTAAAAACGCGGCCGCGGTGGAGTACATTTTTATTTCGAAGGTGTACCAGGAGAACGCGACAAAGATGCGTGCGTGAAAACACTGCAACTTTAATTGAATTGTTTCCTTAAACTATAGTAGTACCTCAAAATTTTTCTTATTCCCACAAAAATCGGAAATTGTTTTGCCCGTGTAATAAATAAACGCATTTAATTACACATACTTGCTTAGACTTAAATTATGAGTAGCCCAAAACTTGTTTTTTAGGTAGCTGCTTTCTTCTTCATGAGTCCTAGGACACGGTAAAAACAATGTCTAATTTTCTTTCAAGAAAGGGGGGAAAACGTTAGGTACTACCATGTTGGATCATGTTCAAGGAAAATTCCGCAAATTTTGAGGGAAATCTTCTCATAATATAAGGTTAGGTTAGGTTAGGTTTTAGCAACAAATGTTATTAAAAAAAAACATGTCGTAATCCAACAACATTCACAAAATTTTCTGAAACAAATTCTCATTTCAAAACAGTGGGTATTTACTAACGCATGCACCAAAAATTTGTAATAGCACAAACCCACTCGTTCGGTAACGATATATCTTGCTATCAAAATTTACAACGGTTTTGTTTCAGTGTGAGAACATGGTGAAAAGTAGGCATCATTGTTATGGACCACAACGGGCGAAATGGAAGGAATTTTGTCACATGCCAATGAAAACGAGAATGATGATGATTTTTTTTTACGAACTAGTCATTTCAAAGAGCGTGATAATTTGACAACTTTTTTTAACAGTGCAAGTGTTTGCGTTATCCCCAAGTGTGGACATGTATGCGTTATCTACGCAGGGCTGGATCTGGTTAATGGCTAAGGGAGGGGCAAAATGTTATGGTTGCCTACTTCCAGGGGCACTTTTTATGTGCTAAATTATCAACTTATTTCCTAATCCGCATGGTTTAAGGCATGACAAGATTTTGGGGTGTATATAAAATAAGACCCATTTTTTTTATATATTTTTTTTAACTAACCGCAAGATACCGTAAATTTGAAAGGCCCGGGCCAGCTTGAGATGGTTTCGCGAGCGAATCGGGCGTAAATTTTCGTAGTTGTGCTCATTTTGGTCGCAAACTTTGTATAGATGCCATACTGAGTGAAGAAAATTATTCGCAATTGTGGAAAGAGCAAAGAGCAGGAAGAGCTGAAAGGTCATAAGCGAAGAGAGCGGGAAAAAGATGCCCAAGTAGACATAAATCTTCCAAAAATCGCGAGCGAAATAAGAACAAAATTATTTTAGGTATACGCCGAGCTGAACATGACGTTTAATTCATGGGGAGAGTAGGGGGAGTGACAAATTTGGTTAAGGTTGCATGTCATTCAAAATTACTGCCTTGTTCACTTTTTTTCTAGTCCCTCTCTTCTTTCTCTTCTCTCTTCCCTCTTTCGAAAAAAATCCTTCCTTGTATCTCCTGAATACCTACATGTATGAGCACATAGTGTGCATGCTTTCTTATAATAAATGCATAAAAATGTTCGAATTCACAAAAGTGTTCAAATCAACGCAGAATGTGTGCAAATAATTTGATTGCTTGAATTCGTACCAGGTGTAACTGTGAATACGCAGCAGTGGTGCGGGTTTGCCTACTCTTTACACCCGTAAGGCGCCATGGCCCCTGCGGCCATATTGATTATGCAATCCCACAACACTTCTGCGTATTCACAGTTAAGCCCGATACTAATGAAATGCACGAATCAAGTTAGTTTGTATATGCCCTATAATACAACGATTTAATTATCTTAACATTCTAGTACTAACTGTGTATTAAATATGTGAAGTTTCCCAACAATAGAAACATTGTTTTCGTAACTTTTTTTGTGATATTAGTTTTAGAGATTGTATGAGCAATAGGTGGGAGTCAAACATGGAAGGTAGGATGGAGGAAGATACGTTTTATTCATTTCGCAATTTGTTTCTCTAAAGAACACATTTGGTCAGTCCGTTTGAGGGTTGGGTTGAGTGCCTTGACTAGGTTGCAGGGTAACGTGGTAGCAACAGGTGTTCGTTTAGAACCTCCTGTACTGGGTCTGGGTCTGCTGGAACTGGGCGCCCTCGCGGTCGTAGGAGTTGGGGTCCTCGCGGTACTGGCCGTCGTCTTCGGGCTCGTTGGCGGACTGCTCGAGACCCTTCTTGATCTCCTCTGGGATTTCGGGAATGTGGGCACCGGAGGCGCGGAAACCGAACTCGTCAGCAACCCAGTTAACAGCGTAGGTCTGGCCGTCGTCACCGACGTAGGAGTAGGTGCCCTCAGACACGAGAGCCTCGTCCTTGGAGCCGGCGTTCTTGAGCTGGGCCTGGCCGACAGCCTCGATACCGTTCTCGGTCTTGAAGCTGTAGACACACAGATTCGAAGGGTTAGTGAGGAGAAAACTGCAGCGCTCCGCGCGCCCTGGGCTCCCGCGGTGTGACGCCCGTGCTGACGACCCCCCCCAGAGCGCCAAAGTTCGCCACCTGAGCCGCTAGCATTTGCCAAGTAGTCATCGCCAGGAGGCGCGGCGGGGCGGGCCGACTGACTCGTCTGATGAGGTGCTTACGGAACTCCGACCACCGGGAAATGGGTGCGAAAAACTCTCCTCCATCCACTTTGGGCACGCTTCGCAACTTGCAGAGGCGTTTCGATACGATTTGCACCTAACCTGGGCTGGGTTGAGTCGGGGTCACGGTCCACAAATCGTGTCACTCCCCCGGCGCTCACACCCTAACCTGCCCTTTCCTTCGCCCTTCAAGAGTGCGGCGGCGCGCGAAATACGAGAAAGGATTCAGTTTCTGTTTTGCTATTTCCCCATCTGTGTGATGGATTTGTTCCCTTAGACATGGTGCGTGGAGGCCGTTCGCCGGCCGCGCGAAGATGCCGTTTTATTGCCAGATGAGGGCGACACGGGGCCAAAAGGAGCGGTGCGTGGTCGCGCGTCACGTGGACAGTGGTCAGGGCAACGGCGAGGTTGCGCAATAAAAAACCAAGAAAAGGAAAAACCGATGCCTGAGCTTTTTAAAGAATTTATCCAGACTCACTTGAACTTGTAGTCGCCCTGCTCGGAGGTCTCCTGGATCTGACGGAGGATTGCGGGGGGCTTGACGTACGCCTGCTGGTGGTGGTGGTGCTGCTGGCCAAGGATGTGGCTCACATCGGGGCGGGCGGCAGCCACGGCGACGAGGGCGAGGACGATCTGCAGCAACAAGGCAGCAGCATTGACTTCACAGCAAACTAATGTGAACACCTCTGAACATATCAAACTGCATTCTATAAAACTTTAAAAAAAGTTCTCCTTATTTAGAATATTTCTTGTCATGTTAAAACCAGCTGTCACTTGCAGCCGTGGGCGTGACTGGCTAGGCGCCCCATCCTCGGCATAACTTAAGTGGTCTCGCATCAGCTGAGGCCCATGCTGAACAGGAGCTCTTTGGCACTTTCACAGATGGGCCGGTGGTGATTTTGTTATATGGCGGCTGTCAGCTGCACGGCCACCAATGAGCCTCGTGCTAGACACTCACCAGGACCTTCATGTTGCTTGTTGGGCTCGGAGTGGACGAGTGACGCTCCCCAGTCCGGCCTCCGATATTTATACAGCTCTGAGCTCAATCTCGCGCGGGGCGCTCTGCTTTTTTTGTGCCAAACGCGCGACCGGCGCTAAACGCGGGCAGCACAGTCAAACAGACAGACATGACCAGACGGACCGACTGACGGCGGGAGGGAGGCGGAGGCGGGCGGGGGTCGGACGGGTAGATGTGCCCAACAATAAAGAACGCTCACCCCCAAAAAGAAAGGAGATCATTGCCGGTGGGCCCAGGCGCAAGGCTCCGGCTAACCGACGAGTGGCGAGCCGGCCGCCGCTGCTCAGCTCAGGCGTGTTTCCGCAGAGCGACTCCTGTCCCTGAGTGCATGGTCCTGGTCCAGGGGCGCTCGTTGGCGCACCCGTCTAAAAGCTCGCTGGCTCGAAATCCTTGACGCCTCAAATGTGAACCGGCAATAATGCACTACCAATCACAGACTTTGGCGATCATAAAACGTCACCTGAATGAAGATCCATAGATAAATTTCGCCCCCCCCCCCTCCTAAAAAAATATTTAAAAAAATTATATACAGTGGTATTTTATTACAATCGACTGCAAACGGATGCCTCTTAGAATTGTGTTTACACACAACCTGAAGTTATCCTGTTAGTTATTTCGCTTCGGCAAGCATTTTGTGTGTAAATTTTGAAAAGATCTCGCTTAGCATTTTACTTCGATTGGAAAATGAAGTAGTTTTGAAAGAAGAAATTTAAGATTGAGGCAACACCCACAAGAAGTTGTCAGGAACAAACATAGTTTTGCAAACTTGACGATCGTTGTCTTAACCGTTATTTCATATGTACTTTGGAGCTAGCCGTATTTTTCCCAGCCTTTCATTTTTCTGACTGGAAGTGCTAGAAGCACTGCTTCCTCCACCCCCACCGCTTAAATGCAGACTAGTGTTTGCAAGGCGAAGGCGGTGGGCACGGCCTGAAATTTTAGCCCGCCCGAAGCTGCTTTAGTTGAGGTCAATTGAGCTTAAGCTAAAATTTTTGACTATACCCGCCCGCCCTGTTGAAAACACAAATGCACAGCCATACGCTGTACCAATAGAGACTTCTTTTGTCCATTTTAAGACGTGTTTGTGTGTCTTTTAAGACTGACTGCGGATCATGAGCTATCACGAGTCGGTCGCCCAGGAGCCCCAAGACGCTTGGCCTAGCGTAGCCAGAGCTTGCTCGCCCGAAGAAGATGCAAACAGCTCCCACCTTACTGCATCTCAGGGAGTTAATCAGCCATTTGCTTTTTGTGATTAAGCAGTACGCCGACCTTTGCCAGTGGGGAGTAGGTATCGCTAAAACGTGGCCACAAAAGAGGAAGGGGTTTCCAGCAGGCTGTTAAAGCTGATGCTAACAAGAAAACTTAAGTAGCTGTTGTAGATTCCCAAAGTTTTGCTCAAACCTGGTGTATTTGCTTCTTATCCATGTAGATGACGATTTTCGCTAAAATATATTTTGTTTCAGGAAAGAGTATTATGGAAAAAGTTTCGAAGTAGGATATACACTGATGTAAGGCGTCCTCATATTGCAAAATTAAAGAGGAACAGCCCCCCACCCCACCCCCAAAAAGCCGCACATTTTAAGTCGAAATAATACACTGAAAAAAAAAGTTTGCTTTGCTACTAGCATACACATGCTTATGACAAACACCATGTGTTTTTTAGACTTTTAAGTGTCTGACTGGATATTTGAAAAATATAAAGTGTTATA